AAAAAAAAAAAAAGGAACAAGGTGGAAATTATTTTGGGGCATTTGTGGTGTATAACTTGAACTGTGATGAAGTTATTATCTATTTTCTATCTTTCATAGATAAATTTTATTTTGAAGAACAAATGATGGACAATGTGGAAACTATTTCGAGGTGTTTGTTCGAAATGTGATATTATTAATGATAAAATCAAATCCATTTCTTCCGGGATGAATAAATCACACCTCTTGTAATTCGAGATCAAATCCTGAAAACTGAATTATTAAATTAGTGAACTAACATGCCAAAATTATCATAATGGTAATAATAAAATTTTTCGTTCCTTTTTTAAAATTTCATATTATTATATATTGTACGCATCATTATAAATTAATCATTTGAGCATTAAGTACTTCGATGTAAAGATTTTTTCATAAAAAATACAATTTGTTCTGTACTATTCATCTAATGTATGGAATATGTAGAAACATAAAAGTTGTATTATCTATTTAAATACATTATATACAGCAAATGAATATATCTATCATGGTTTATGCAAATGCAAAACTACAGAGAATGCATATAACATAGAAAAAAATATATAAAATACAACACTTTCAGATATTTAGTATGTGAAATAATTTTCTACCAAAATTCTGTTTTTTATATTATATCCTTAAAAATATGAATTTACATGAAGATACCACAATCTAGTCATGGTGTAGCCAAAAAATGTGCAAGAACTGACATAATAAAATATTAATAAAATATTAAAGTAACGATAAGTATGTAAATGCAGTAAAAATGTATGTAAATGTATGTAAATTTTGTATCTTTGCAGGTATAATACAATATTTGAACTATTATTTTGTTGATTTCTAAGAATTTTTGTAAAATAAGTAAAGCATTTTTTTTTTCTTATATCAAACATGTTACACGTAGGTATAGTCGAACACATCAGTCTTATTGTATTTTAGGATTCGACATAATAAAACAAAGTAATGACTCACATTGAACTCTCAAATAATATCGTTGGGTTACAAATAGTAATATTTAATTATCCAATTCATGTTAGATTAATTGAATGATTAAAATATGCATTCGATTTAATTTTGTATTTTACATTCTCCATGATAAGAATGATAGGAATAAAATTCATTTTGATTAAAAATTTTAAAACTAAATAATTTCACTTTAAATTGTTATAGTTTCCAATAGACCAATGATACCAGATAAGAGTTAACAATATGTTATTTATAATCAAACTGAAGAACGAAATAAGATAAGATAAATTTTTATCAGACAGATTTTACTTTAATTATCC